TTCTTCAATGTGTTCTTAAAAAGTGCTGCAGTTTGTTCTGGTGTCTTCTACACTACAGCTGATGAAACAGTTCGTACATGTGACCTGCAAACAGTAAGAGCTATTAACCTGAGTGTAACCTCTTGCTTTACAACACACACACACACTCAGTGCCACATTGCCAGGTCTGACGACTGGCAGCAATCAGGAGTCTTTTTAATCCACTCCACAGTTTTATGAGCGAGTTTATAGACATGCTGTGATTGTTAATGTGTGTGTGTGTGCCATCTGAACCCTTCTGGTGGTGTTTTCTGTTTCAGCGTTAGTCTCTGCTCTGTCCTGTATAAACTGAAACCTGCTTTAAGAGTAGAAGCAAGTCTGAAAGTAATCACGGGATGTCTTCAGTTTTCTGTCTGTAGCATTGTTTGTAGTCTCTCTGTGTTGCTGTTTTGTTGCCTTCCCAACAAAACAAGAAAGAATTTCTCAATTTATCTACACTTAATATAAACCAGATAACACATTTAAGTGGCTGGAAGTGAAGAAAATCAGAAGATTCATATTTAGCACAGTGGAGTGTCTCTATGAGGAGTATTTTTCTGGTTCTACTGTTGCACAAACTCGGAGGATAAATATGTCAAGATGGAAAGAAAGCGTGTGATACGTCTGATTACATGCCAGCACTTTGCAGCACTGTAAATCACCTCCCCACTTCACAAGAAAACCACACACACACACACACGCACACAGAAGCTCTGGTTTGTGTGTGTATGTTCCCCTTTTTTATCTGTATTTCTGTTCTTTGTTGCTGCTCTGTAAAGAAAGGATTTGGTTTAAAGTAAATATTATGAAATAAAATAAATCTCCACGGATTCCTGCGGGGAGACTTGATTGTCTCAGCAGCAAATATTACTAGAATACAGCAAAGAGAGCTAGAATATAAGCAGGGAAATGGAACAGTAAAGTGCGGGTGCCGCTCTAAATGTCTTGAAGTGTTTTCAGTTTGACATGTTGGTGAACTCGTTACCTCAGATAAAAGAGGCCTTGGCGTTCGGGACACATTTTCCAATTCCAACCCTTCTCTGTTCAGTGTCAACACTGTTGAATAGCTGTAGATGTTTTAAACTCCCGGTGGTTCTTGGCTCCCTTCTGGGCCAGACATCCAGTCAGAGCTGCTGGACGTCAACCAGTAAGAAGTTCTGTCAGGATCAGACTACATAACGAAGTAAAGTCTCGAGATGTCGGATTCGCTTTAGGTTCCTGTCTGAAGTCGGACTACTACGTTGAACCCTGACCAATCATAACTAGACTTTGTGTTTTTGTAAAACCTGTGGTGTCGAAAAATATGAAAGAATCAATTCAATACAATACAAAGTTCTTTCTATTCAGTGTAGTCTTCTACTGTTTGAGCAGAGGGCTTTTAGTGCCTTGCTTAAGCACTTCTCCGGATGATGATGAAAAAAAACTAGGTAGTGGACTAAAAGCAGAGTATTACTGGGTTTCTTTCTCTAGCAGTCAGTCATGATATCTGAACTGGTTACAGACCCACTTCTCTGGCCTCTTGGCTGATTTCACATCATCTTCTTGAGTTTAAAAGCCTGTTTGTACCCGTTTACAATATGAAATGTTAAGAGAAAAAGCCACACGATAATGAGTGAAACCAGCGTATGGACCACAAAGACGTCACTGCACTTCAGAATATAGTGCGGGCTTTTATTTTATTTGTCTTATGTTTTCTTGCTAACAAACAAAAATGCTACTTGTGATCTTTTCATTACTTGTTTCTTTCAAATTGCATTGTCTGCACACAAATCCAGGGAATGTGCAAAAGATCACACTGTTAAGAATATTTCCAAGATGCATGTGTCTTTATTCAGTTAGGTTCACATTGTAATTGCTCTATCCTGCTGAAATAAAATGTGAAACTTTAATTTGAAATGCTTTTTCTTGGTTCACATACAGAGGGTTAATCTCTCTCTCTGTGTCTCTCTCTCTCTCTCTCTGTAGGGTGCTGGTCAGGAGAAGCTGGGCATCTACATCAAGTCTGTTGTGAAAGGAGGAGCAGCTGATGTGGTTAGTACACACACAGAAAGTGCAACCATGACAGAAACGTATGAGGAAAAACAGGAAGTGACTCACTCTGTTTGTGTTTTTCCAGGACGGGCGTTTGGCTGCAGGTGACCAGCTGTTGAGCGTGGACGGCCGCAGTCTGGTCGGCCTATCGCAAGAGAGGTAAACGCCGTGCTCCAGTCAGTTTGTTTTTAATTAATGACTGAACTGTTAATACTTTAATGCCCAGCTGCCTGTTGCACCAGCTGTGTGTCAGTTCAAACTAGTTATATGGTAAATAAGTACAGAGGTGTGATTTATGCATTACTAAAATAAAAGCAGTTGCTCCATGGAGATTACTTACGACTTTAGTAACAGCCAGTTGCAGCCATTTTGCAACACAGTAATTAAGTAGAGAGCTAATTTATTGATATATTTCATTATCGATTGAGCATGACGATGGAACTCTAGCTTTGATTATTGATTGTCCACTTGTCTTAGTTATGACTTTATGTCCAAATTAGTTAGGTTATACCCGACTTTAGTAGCTGATTTAGTTACAAACTAACTAGTAGTTACTGAGCCACTAGTCTCGACTTTACACCTCAAATAAGGACAAAACTTAACTCGTGCAACCCGGTCTAGAAAAGTCCAGTAATGTGACGTCAGTGAACTAAATGTGTTCTTATGCTGATTCTAAACTAGTGACGGGAAATTCCCAGCTGACGTGTAAATTAGGATTCATGACCTCCAGTGATCTATCTGTATGAAGCACCAGAGAGTACGTGTGGGTGGGCGGGGTGTTTTTCTCTCCATGTGCTCAACCACTCACCGCGCAGTATTGATGTATTTATGGTCAAACGCGATGATGAAACTCAGTTTGACTTCTATTTTGAGAACTGAAAACATTTGAAAAGTAAAGTATCATGTTGACGTGACATCAGATAACCACAGTCTTGCAAACCTCAGAGTTGAGACATCCTGAGGGTTCTTGCACTGCATCCCAGTTGTCCTCGTAAAAAAGACCAAATGTCCAACATGTCTGGAACACACAACGCAAGCAGAAAGAGGGTGTGTGTGTGTGTGTG